GTACGTAACGTAACGTACGTAACGTAACGTAACGTAACGTACGTAACGTAACGTAAGTAGTAGTAGAGAGAGAGAGAGAGAGAGAGAGAGAGAGNNGAGAGAGAGAGAGAGAGAGCAAATGGTTTAGAAGCTTTTTGTCACATTCCAAAAGAGTGAATCCATCAACAATTTTGTCAATCATATCAGTCTCATATGCATTGACCATATCATATCAATCTTTATAAATTCATAGCCTATGACTGACCAAGTTTCAAAGCAGAACTATATTGATAAAGAAATGAGTTCATTCAATATAAAATAAAAAATAATGGATAAAAAGGATATTGCTATTAGATTTTGTTTCCATTAATACAATGATAACAAAAAGAATGGGCATTTCATTAGCTGGCTGCTATGATAGAGTAGCTTTAATTGTACAAAAAGAATGGCCATTTCACTGTTTGAAACTCACTACTTAACATCTCTTTCAAACTCGCTACTTAACATCTATCTAAAAAAAAGATTAATAGTATTTTGCAACGTACATTAGTCACTTTTCAAATTACGTATCAAATATCAAACTAAAAAATATATATTTTTCACTTTCTTCGCCTCAACCATTTTTTACCCAGCTTGAAATATCATTGCCCTTTATATCGGGTTCCTCCCCAGTCCTTTCCTTCGGTGCATTTTCTTCTCTCCGCGATCGCAAATTCCACATTGATTCCTCATGTAAGGCCGGCACTGCTTCAATCTGGTCGATTTTGCCCTTGTCATTGCTATTCTTTGTTCTCCTCTCATTTACCTCATTAGTCTAGCTCTTTCTTTCCTCATCTTCACCATCTCCCTCCTCAGTCTCGCTTTCCTTATCTCCACTATCTCCATCCTCGCTCTCACTTTCGTCATCTCCACCATCACTCTTCTCACTCTCACTTCCACCATCCCCTTCTACCATCTCCTCAGTATCTGTCTTTATAAGAGTGTTCTGCAATAGCAAATCATGGGTTTCCTATACATGACATCTGGATTCCCCTGCTAATACTTCATCACTAAGTGCAGCTTGTAGTATCCCGATACAAGTTAATCGCTGAAAGTAGACAATAAAAAACAAAATAGATAATTACTTTGAATACATATTAAGTCAATAAAACTAAAATACATAAATTAGATAACATAGCAATCTCGTCTTGTCATCATGGCCTGCTAGGGGGGGCGCATTTGATTGCGACTGCAGGGGGCGGGGGGGGTAAATGGAAGTATTTATATATCTATAGGTGAACATGTTGTACCAGGACATTGAATCTTTTGTAGGCATTTCACCATATTTATCCACTATTACCTTGACAACATTACGTTCTCGTTGCCGCCAGTCACTTATATCGCTACTCAACTCGTCAATCCAACTTGTGAGTGTATACTGACCTTCTCCCTCCTATCCCAATTGGGTGGCCCAACAAGAATCTCTTGCATTTTCTCAAATTGCCGCAACATACGATCAAACATATAGTACTCTACAATATAGTAGCTGAGTGTATCTAATGGGTTGTACTCCTCATATGGGTTACTAAGTTACCTACAACAAAAACATAACACAATAATCACTTATTTGTAGTTGCCTTAGATATATTACCTACAATTATATAAGCATACAAAAAAACCACCAACCATATTTGTATTTGCATTTGATAGATTACATACAATTACATAATCACACAAGCAAATCACTAACCATGACAATTGAGATGTCCTCAAACAATATTAATGGGCCTTTGCAGCGTAGTTGTTTCTTCCACTTGCAAGCTCTAGGCATTTCTATGGTGATAGTTAGGCTTCGTGCTTAGAGCTAGAAAATGCTCATAGACCTAACACTGTACAAAAAATAGCTTAAAGCAATTAGTTTGAAGCCAAAGAAATTGTAAATATCTAAATATTGACTAAAAAAATAGTGAAAATTATCTGTGGTAGTGTTGCTGGCCCACTAAAATACGTATCCCCGTCTACGACCTTAGAAAATGAATGATACAAGAAGGCAAATACTGCTGCACCCCATATATATTTCCCTGCCTTATCAAAATCTCGGAACAGTTGCAGTTAACTTGTAGATGTCGATCCTTGAGATGTATTGACAAATATAGTTGTACCGACTAAATAAAGGAGATAAACTTGAGTGTTTTGGAGCAATGTTAATTTAGTAGGATTTTTTGGTAGTTGCCCGAATTTCGTCCTCAACCAAGTATGTTTAAAACGGCTCAACTTATCACCTTTAGGGCAATCTCCCAAATACTCCATGATGAAAGCCTTGTAGTTTTTAGGTTTGATGCTTGTTACATGCTCGTTTGTCACAGGTATCCTTAATATATTCCACACATCGTACAGGGTTGGAGTCATCTTACTAACAGTTACACGTGTGGTATTTTTCACCTTGCACTATTCCCTGAAAAGGCCCTCAATAGATTGCAATCGATATGAGAGACCACAATGTCTATCAAATAGCTCAATTTGGTGTTTTCAACCAAATCTACTTGTCGTAGATCTAGCTCCCATTTTTCTAGGGTCTTAGTTGATTCATTAATACAAAAAAAATTTTCTTTTCAAATAAAGTTCAATAAGAAATGACAATAGTCATTAACAATATAAGAATTACTTAATTAATGTAAATCATGAACTAAAGTAAATAGACTATCGTACATTTTCCATGTGGTCAGATGAAGTGGATGGGCCCATTGTTCCTCTTGACTGTTCTGGGTCTTGCATCGCTAAATCTATTTATATTATCCGAATTTTACATGTGTACATCACATCAATTAAGAGAATATGTACATATGAATTGGTAAAAAAAGAATAATATATGTACTAACAAAAAAGAGAATAATAAAAGAAACAAACATAAGTATATGTGTCCCAAAGTGCAAGATTAACATAAGTGGAACAAATACTAAAAGGAAACACCATTAATATATGTAATAACAAAATTTCCCACAAGTGGGTGCTATAAATTAAAAGTACCTAATGAAGAAGATAAATATAAGTATATGGCTTCAAGTGGGTGCTTTACATGTTGCCTTGTTATGACCAGTTTCTTTGCATTGACTACAGTGAATAGGTCGCATAGGTACTTCTTGTGACTCGATGCACGTCTGTTTAGGTCGGCCAAAGGGGCGCCTTGAGTGAGGTGGAAGCACTCTTACTTCCTTTGGAGGAAGTTGTTCACATAAACTATGCTCAGACAAGTCGATCAAGGTAACTGGCATGATAGCTATGGAATATATTTCACAGAATTTTGCAACTGTAAAATATTATTCACAATAGTCAACAAGATCTCGATTCATTTCTTGAAGGGCTTTACAAGCATGCTTTCAAGGCAAACCTATCATTTGCCTACCCCATCATTCACATTTTCGTGTAATAATATTTACCTTATAATTCATGCGATTAGCCCTTGCTTCATATACTGCTCCATTCGATGCCACATTGACCCTCACTTAAAGGGATTACTTTATGATATTTCTTAGTTCGTTTTGAGCTTTCGAGGTAAGTGTTGTAATCCAGGTTTCAGCTTTCAAGCTGCGAGGGGCCCTTAGTTCTATGATTTGTCTTCTGATCAAGTCAACGCACTGGAGAATTGGTATATCTTGTGTTTCTAGAATCCACTTGTTTTATGACTCGACCACATTGGTTGTTACTTGGTCATATCGATTACCCTTGAATTGTGATGTGGGCCAACGATTTGGTGATGTTTCCATGAACCACTTGAATGTCAGAAAGTGATCTAATTTTCATCATCTTATCAAGATACTCTTGATACCTATATGCTCTGATAAAGGCACATACAACTGCCTTCTTAACATCATTAGGTATGTTATTTTCTTCCTTCTTGAAATTTTTCACTAAATGACGCTTACAGAAAGCATGATGAGCATTCTCAAAAACTTAACAGACAGTATCAACCAGACCAGAGTGTCTATCTGACAAAAGAATTATTTCACGATCTATCCCAATAGCAATCTTTAGAGATCCCATAAACCATAACCAGTTATAAGTACTTCGGCATCCATAATTACGAATGCAACAGAAAACATTTGTCCATCCCCATCAAGTGAGTTGACAGTAAGTAAAGTCCCAAGGTATCGTCCCTTTAGTGATGTCCCATCAAGAAATAGAAGTGGATGACATGCATTTTTGAAGCCATGTATTGACCCATAAAAACTTAAGAACAATCAACGAAATCTACTTCCTGGCCATACTTGTCATGTCGCATAACTACCAGTATTTGTCTCTATCACACGGTTTACATATGTTAGTAACTGGTTGTATGCCTTCTCTTGCAAACCATGTATGTGTTTGATGGTCGTTTCTTTTCCTCGCTCCTTCCAATAAGGTAATTCTAACCCATAATCTTGAGACAAATCACTCATGCTTTCTTTAGCCTTGTAATGCACAGTGTCACTCAATTTATCATTGATTAAGGATACAACAAATTTCTATGACTCTGTTCTCTGTACATCATTACTTGTCCCAATATTGCATGAGTGATTTTTTTTCTATGTTTTGATCCTAAAAACATTCGTCCCGCCAAGTTTCGCAGCATATATCTCCCATTTGTATTCATCATCCTTGTATTTTGACCTTATACGATACCCTTTATTTTTAACAAGACGATATGTGAAATGGTTTGCTATAGCAAACTTGCTATGGGCTTTTTAGAAATCTTCTAAAGATTCAAACTGCTGCCATATCCCAACAAGTGCATCATCCCATGTGCTAAGCAACCTTGCTGCATTCCTTTGTTCAGAGCTAGAGACCAAAGCATTAGAGGATTGTGGGGATTTGACCTCTTCGACTGCTATAGTATTATGTGAAGTACTTCTACCTCTACATTCACTCCCATGAAATACATAGACGAACACTTGATTCTCGCCTTCATAGGCGTTCAACATCCTAATAATATCATCGTCAATGAATAGGTTCACTATAAATCTTCTATCTCTCGGGACAAAATACCTCAGTGATATCAAATGCATATCAAGTGAGAGTATTTTTGCATGTCATCTAACCTAGTTCTACAGTCAGTGAAAAAGGTAAATGCATCACCACCAATATAATCTAAAATCCCATCGACACTTGTTTGGAGTTCTCCACGAAAATGCTATAAATTAAAATACTCTTTCATACCTGGGGCTCATAAATCGAGCTCGGCCTTTCATGGGTGTCGTTTCGAGAGAGTAGTGCTCTATGGGACCTTTGTAGAGACAATGACAGAGTTGTGGGACCTTCGATGAGAGAGAGGGAGAGAAAAACGTGGTGCTTTGTAAGACCTTAGTAGAAAGAGAGATTGAGAGAAAAGCTGAGTTTTTATCTCAATAGAGAGTGCGGGGCCTTAATAGAGAGAGAGGAAAACTAAAAAAGTAGATCGTAAGAGAGAGTGAGTGGGTCCTTGGCAGAAAGAGAAGGAGACAAGAGCTCACCTCACAAGAGAGAGAAAACCCTTGTATTGTGCCCAATGGGAAAATCGTGAGCTTGGTGAGCCTTGATAGAAAAAGAGGGAAAATCGTGTGCTTGATGGAGACCCGAATGAGAAAATCATGAACCCTAAAGAGTGGGAAAGAGGAAAATTTGTAGTGAGGGAAAAAGGAAATCCTAAAGGAAAAAAAATAGGTTTGAAGTAAAAACATCATGTGAAATAAATGGTTTTAAGGTAAAACATAAAAGGGAGGGTAGTTTAGTCTTTATTTCACCATTTTTTTAGATTGGGAGGTATTAACTAAAAAAGTTGGTTTTGAGGAAAAATATGTTAGAAAAAGTTGGACTGAAGGTAAAATTTCCTAAAAAGTTCATATTTGGGGGTTTTAAACAAATTTCCCAAAATTTATCAAAGAGCACCCATGAACCATTTAGCATTTCACATTTTTTTTTTAATTAGATTTCAAAAATCTTATTAAAGGACACATAATTATGAGTTAAATAAGTTGATATTTTGAAAAAGTTTTGATAATAAATGTTAGTTAATATTTGAAGTAGTTTAATACATTTCACAAAAAAAAAAAGGGGTAATATGTGCAACATATTTTATAGTGGGAATCCAACGTTAAGTATTGAGCCAATGAGCGTATGGATCCACATACCCCTAGACTTACAATGCATTTAAGACGCATCAATGTATCACATGTTTTACATGTTCTTATGTTTTAGAGAAGGAAAAAATTTATGCAAGGCATCAACCTTATACTGTATGAGTAGGCTGCACTTAAAAACCCACTAGAGAAGGCTATTCTTATGCTCGAAAACCCTCAAATCGATCATCTTGACCTTGAGATTCATCGACAAGATAAAAAAAAAAAAAGATTTCTAGTCCTAAAATAGTTTATCTGCTTGATCATCACCAATTTTTAAAATTTAAATTTCATAATTGAGGGCAACAATAGATTTTCAAATCATCATAAAGATTCGCAACACCAAAACTGTATTTTCGACAGAGTTTTGAGGAGCACCTTACTTCAATAGCATAACGTTGACACCTTATGCAAACTTCACCCTCTAAAAAAACATAATTTGTTTAACAATGAGATAGCAGAATACGAGGCACTCACTACATACTGACAATGAACAATTGAATAGGTGGGAAATGACCATTACGTGATATAACAGGCACAACACAAAAACTTACAAGAGGTAAGGAAACTATTCTTGACCATCGCTACTCAGGTCACCCCATCTAACATTGTATTTGGCTGCAAGATAATGAGCACCAACAGGGCCTCTACTCCCATAAGGATAGAGCTCAGGTGCTATTTTCTTCTCTTCCAATTCCTTTAATAGAGGACTAAAAAGAGCCCAAGCTGCATCAAGCTCATCGCTTCGAATGAATAGGCGACGCTCCCCTTCAATAGCATCCAAGAGCAATCTCTCATAGGCATCAGGAATTTCTCGTGGGTACCTTTTTAAGAAAAGCCCATTCGGGTTACACTTCAGTTAAAAATGGGGTTACACTTCGGTTAAAGACCCTACGAGATATAATACCTGTTGGTTTGAAACAATATACTAGCAGGTTGCCAACCCTCCAGTGCCAATACAGGATGGTCTGAGGAGTGTTGCTCCTCCATAAAGAGACCATCAATTTTTTCATGGAATAGAACTCCTCCACTATCAACATCAGGCAGTTGAGAAGCATCTAGTATACTGTTCGAAAACTAACAGGTATAATAGACTTTTTTAGTCATTTTGTGAGTTTTCCATCCAACACAGTAAACTGTGCTTTAATATGAACATAGTATACTCACAAATATCCTCTCTTAAAAAGTGTCGCAATCGTATGACAAAATTTCAGTAAGTTTGCTAACACCAAGAGGTCTTCTCCCTTGTTTGCTCAGCTTCCCATAATTTTTATAGAACGATCAAGTTTTGCTTCACTCTAAATTCAAAATCTATAGGTAAATCGATTTAATCTCATTTCCATATTGATTTTTGTGTTTCCATCCAAGGCAGTAAATTGTGTTTTAATACGAAAATAGTATAGTCACAAATATCACTATTTCTCTTAAAAAGTGTCACAAACATATCAAAAAATTTCAGTAAGATTACTTGCTATCACCAAGAGGTCTTCTCCCTTGTTTGCTCTGCTTCCCATAATTTTTATAGAATGATAAAGTATTGCTTCAGTCTAAATTCAAAATCTATGGGTATAGCAATTTAAATCTAATTTCCATATGGATTTTTGTGTGAATTTCCATTTTTCTTTCATAAATGTTTCTTCTTTCTGATACCTTCCCTAGGACAATCAAGAATTTCATACACGAAAAACAAAATTTTCGAAAGCTCCAGAAAATCTCTGAAGATGAGATTCTCACTATTATATTCATGAGGAAATTACCTTGCAGCATAATGAAGATCGAGATTGCTTCGATCCAATCTCATTCCGAGGCCTGGGATCTTGTTGTTGATCTTCAGGTAAATAGTTTCATCGGGTTGTACTCGGATCACTAGCTCATTGGTTGCCTTGTCCAAATCGGTTCCAAAGGTTCGCTTGTACAAATTGCCAGGAACATGCCTGAACTGCACTCTTATTTCTGCACTGTAATCTCATACACAGCATAGAGAACCTCCATTTGTCACAATCTAATCCAAGATTCACATAAACTTAAATTGGTTTTTGATTCTCTTATCGATACTTTGAAAGCACAGGTAAAATAAAAACCCATCAATGCTTTTGGCCATTGTTTATGGAAGGAGATAATCCAATCAGGTTACATAACATGTACTGTATGTCATCATAGCCCTTGATGGTTGGCATTCAACCAAGTACAATTCATCTGCACCATCCATCATTAAGCACATATGTGGCAGTGCAAATAATTGAAAGTGTTTCGTAATATATCTCTTTTGGCTGTAGGCAATTGCCACATTCATGCATAACGGATGATGTCATGCGAATATCACCCAATACGTGCCCTTGTTAATTAGGCGTAGCTGTTATTTTATTTCTATATTAGGGTCATCCAATACCAATGTCCCTCATATTTCCACCATACCACAAACCTTGAGTAAGAGGAGAATGTCTACCAAAGGCTACGAGTTCCTTTGGTAATCTTCAGGGTTTATTAGCTTTATGGGCCCTATCTACAAAGGACTTGAATAGCATTAGAATAAACCATATCTATATATCTTAAATTTAAACCATCTTCTATATAAAATTAAGGGATCTCTTAATATATATCAAAACTGAAAATTTTTGGCAAAATTTACCCTCTTTTATGCAAAGCCTTTCCAGCTTTCATCAAGAACGGAACCCCATCCCATCGTGCATTGTCTATGAAAAGTGCGGCTGCTGCGAATGTTGCAGTGAGACTATCGTTGGGTACTGTGGGGTCATCAGTATACGCTGGATAAGCTTTGCCACCCTTCATGTGCCCCTTATATTGGCCAGTTATAACATCATCGAGTTGCAGTGGCCTCATAGATCGCAAAACTTTCACCTGAAAGAAGCCAGGTCAAGCATACTAATCTTCATCATCATCTCTCCCTCTCTGTCATAATCGTCAATTCCTTTTCTAAATTTCACTCTGTTTTTTTATTCTTTTCATCCCTCATGTATTTACTTTATTTTAATTCCGTTAAAATCTTTGTTCTAAACTTGTTTTCAGTTCAATTTTTCATAATCACTTTGCTGGTTAAATATACAAATTTATTGAAATTAAAGAAGATTACAACAGAGGTAACTACATTGTCATATAACCATAGTGCCAACAGAACACCAGTCAATGGACAATTATCAATGGAATTGAAATGCCACCCGACTATTAATATCAGCACTAGTTAGTCCCTTGATATCCTCCAGGGAGGATTGGGACTCAATTTGGGTTAACTTATCCACTGCTTGATTTACTCCTAGTAAATACGTGAGGAGAGCCAAAATGTTCCATGTAGCAGCTGCAATATAGAATTCCACCATGTCTATATGACAAAGAGCCCCACATTTGGTAGTCATATAGTTGATAAGAACTCACTCTACAAAAAGCAATTTTTCGTAGCAATGTTTTAAAACCCAGATCGGCCAGAGGAACGAGTCATCCAAGAAACCGGTCCGCATTGGCAAATAGCCGATCCACATTGATGATCTGACCAATTCTCAGTGGTGAGAATCGGTCCATAAAAAAAGGGGAAAAAAGAGATAAAAAATACATTTAATTAATAAAAATCTAAAGCATGGGAACCGAGCAAATCTGGCCGATCTTGATCACCTGGCCCCCAAACAGCATTGCCGATTCTCTGACACAAACCGTCGATCCAGCATAGATTGAGACCGGTTCCCAATATCTGCTAGGAACCAGTTCATCCTATGCTGATTCCTGCTCCATATCGGCAATTCCCAATCCAGATCAGGGGTTTTCAATCCTTGGTTGAGAGATTTTGCCAAAACCAGCGATTGAATAGGAGCCTTCATTTCTGCTTCAGAACCATCCAAAAAACCACAATAAAAAACCTCTAATTAAACACCCTCCATAGTCCCTACTAACCCCAGCACGGCCAGAGAGTCCTAAAATTGTGATCAAGTAACCATTTTAATTGAGTTTGACTCTGTAGTCTAGTAGTCAAATTCATTGCACCTATGTAATATCTGGAGATTTACTTATGTGAGGACAAAGTCCCCCAACTCTCAATTAGAAATGTCTCTCTCATGTGGAGGTCCTTGGTTGGGGTCACACCAGAATTTTAGCCACCCATTACATAATTTTTTTTTAGAACCACCTCAGACATTAAAACCGCACCTTCATATCTTGTTTTATTCTGAGCCAGCCAAATTTCTCAGACCGCAAAAGGAACGATGAAGCAACTTACCATTAAGTAGGCTTGAGGATTCAATGGAGTAATTGCATCATTTTGTCCATTACCATTAGGTACGGCCATCCCAAAAGTCACGCTAGAAGAAAGCAGACCAACAAAGAAACAGGACAATTTCAAAATAGGTGATCAAGATCCTCTTCACCATTATGGCATAAGTAACACCAAAAAGCTAAGGAAACCTCCTTTACCCGTGCCATAGAGTCAACCACCAGTTTCCCATATAGAAGCTTTCACAATTCATACAAAAATCAAGTTCTTCATTGGAGCATAAGGGAACTAAATCCATTTACACCAACTCACTGGGGTGCAATTGAAACACACCAAATTCCAAGTTGACTGTTCACCGAGTTTGACGACTCCCAAATAAATCTGTCCAGGAAAGCCATTAGAGGAAGGAGAACCTTTTTAAAATGGAAATTGCTTCTTGAATGTCAGGCAAGGAAACCCTTTGGTGGATTCCACTGCCGACCTTGCCCCCCAACAAACTCAGCAACCATGATATTTAAGGGAACCTGATTTATTGAGGCCCTCCATCTCCAGATACTCCATATGGAATAGGATAAAGCAGTAGGTAACACCTCACAAATGCTCCATCCCAAATAATTTGCCATATCTTGCATGTCACACCTAATGCATTGCGATAAGAAACCTAGGTGTGTGTGGTTTTTGCGGATTTTCCAATTCTTGTTGCATATTCCCTGCTACCATGCAAGAATATCCTGCCATTACCTGTTAGTAAGGGAAATTAATGAAATCAAAACTATGGGAGTTTCAGCTCTACATCTAATGTTGATTGATCTAAAATCCTAGCAATATGGTTTTACATCTCTACTGGAAAACTATTGTAGCCCCAACAAAGTTTTTTGGTTCCATGGCATATTATCCAACCCTGCATGAACTTAGTTGCATAGTATGTAACGGACAAGGCAATTCCTTAAACTCATATGTTGAACGACGATGCACTGTTGTCCTATGTTGCTAACTGTTTTATATTCTTTTGGGGACCTGTGTCTGTGCCCTGAAAATGGCTCTGATATGGAAAGTTCATATTTCATCTCTAGGTCACCTAGGGAAATATGCGGCGATCCACTGGTAAACTGCTCCATACTAGATTGCAAAACTAAAGTTTGGCCAACCGAACTCCTTCCAGGTTTCTTATAAACCAAACAGACTCGAAATAACTGGCTTCCAATACTATGAAGCGGCTTTCAACAGTACAGATCAAGAATACAGATAGCTGCAACTGTGGTACAAAAGCAAAAGGACTCACAAGATCCATGTTGGGTACAAAGTACAGGCCTACTTTCAGACCCCAGCGATCCGCATAGGATGGGGGACCATTTAAACCATGACATTGGATTTCCCAGCCCCTATGAAGAAAGGCTTCCAACACACCATTTTGTTTCCCTCTAAGGTACATATGATCTATCTGGAAGACCAGTAATGCCCCTCGTCCTCCAATTCTCTCGGATTTCCAGGATGAGATGAAACAGCATCAAACCCATGGAAAGTCACTTGACTCCCATATCCAAGCTTTGGAATACCAATGCCAACCCCCAAGGACTCACACTGGAGAAGCACCTGGAATAGATGACATGATCAAAGACAATATGAAGTGGGAAGAAGAATGGAAGAAATATAAAGGGGGTATGACCCACCAGTCCCAGAAATGGGTTACCATGCAGAGAATCAAAGTCAAAGATAGGGGCCATAGGGACGCCTTCACACGCTTTGATTCTGGTTCCGACTACAATTGTATAAGTGCAGACCTAGACCTGGCAGCTTAGTGCAAGAAATGTGCAGAGCCACAGTCCGTCGATCAAACTTTTGAATCCCTTGGATGGTCTGCAACACCCATGCCTGCAAAGGAGAAGTGTGCCCAAAGCTGGACTTACTAATGATGCCCAGGATCAGGTGCAACTTTCTCATAAGGATTCCTTTACTGTCACTTATCCAGTATGCTGAGAGGATAAAGAAGGGTTTAACGGAAGGGAAAAGATGTCGTCCTCCATTTCTCCATGCCGATGCGCCCTGCAACCAGGCAACTGCAGAAGGAGAGTGGTGTGCATGAGGTAATTGCCAGTGCACAACAACAAATACCTCATCTGTGTATTTAGGAGCAACTCCAAGAGCCCTATTGTGAAGCACAAATCACAAAAGTTCGAAAGTGTTTTGAGGATATTCTCTTCTCTCTTCTCCCTAAACCCCAAAACCTTCAAGGAAAGACATACATTTGACTTTCAGCTCCAATATGGAAAAACATTTCAGAGAGAAATATCCTAAGTCATGGGCAGGGCAGATGCCTTTGTAAGCTAAATCAGAGGGAGATTGAAGATCTCCTGGCGGAGGTGCTCATCAGGCTAAGTAAGGGCCCCTGGTGCAGCTTTCTACAAAAGCAAATACAATGAACACGGGAGAGGTATTCCAAGGCTTGTGATTTACTAAAAGCCATTAAATGATGCCCTGGATTGGATCCAATACCCAGTGCCAAACTCTGACGGGCCAGTCCATAGGGTATGGAACTTGAATAAATTTGACACTAGGTCTAGCTTCTGGCAGGGCAAGATTTCTGCGAAGGTTAGGTAAAACTGTAAAAGACTGTTTTCTCAAAAAAAAAAAAAAACGTAAAAGACTGCATTTGCTGTACAGATGGGGCAGTACGAATGGTGCATCATACCATTCGGTTTCAAATGTGAACCCTGGAACTTAGAAAGATTCATGAATGAAACAATTGAGCTCTTCATCAGCTTTGCCATTGACTATATTGTCCGCATCTTCAGCAAAAACTTGGAGGCACACTTCAACTAGTTAGAGACACTTCGGATGGAGATTAAATTAAAAATGGGATATCCTAGTCAGCCAAAAAGATGTTTTTTCAAGAAGAGGTAGAATTCCGGGCAAGAAGATAAAAGATGGGAAAATCCAATTCAAGAACCACAATGCAGAATTTGCATCCAAGTTTCAGATCAGAAGCAGGAGAAAAAGCAGTTCCAGTGAGGCCTTGGGTGCCCAAAATATCTTTCATAATACATAGATTTTGCCAAAGGAAGCTACTCATTGATTTCTTCAGAATAGGGACGATAAAAGTCAGGCCAGACGACCATACTGGAACAGTCAGCGAGGTTAAAGAGAGCCTAGAAATGACCCATATTCGCCTTACCTCATGATACAAAGAAAAAGATCATCAAAATAGATGAGTCTGGCACTGGTTCGGTGAAGCCCTGAAACAAGTAACAGATGATGGTAAGTCGTTTGGTTTGCTCTGAAGATAGGGAATGATATCCTCCAATCAGTAAAGAGATATTAGCAGCAATGAAAGCAATTCTGAAATTCAAAATGTATAACCTTAAACAGCCCTAAACAGTAGTATCTGGATGGATGGATATAGACTGATCCCTATAGATAGTCCCCCGCCCCATGAGATATACAGACTTTTACCCCCATAAAGACAGCCCTTCCCGGCCTTTCTTTCCTCATCATTCACAATTGAACTGATGATCGGAAGGGGTATTGCGCTGAGTGGCTAAAGGAAGGCAATCACGATGAGGCCACAGCACTGTGGACAAAAAGGAAATACTCACATTGAACAAATGGAACTAACACCGTAACCTAAGGTCATCCTTTCCTGTGTGTTATTCTGCTCCAAGAAAGCTTTCTTGTTTTTTTCCCTGTCATCATCATCACCAGGTCGGCTATTCATGAAAAGTTGTGGAAACGTTTTATGATAGCTGTCTACTTAGCACAATCCTCCTCCTTTACCCGGGCCTTGGGACTGGCATGACAGGCAGGGGGCTGGCCAAGGCAGAGTTAAACCACAGTGGCCCTTTCCAACTCAGTTCTAAATTCAACAAAAGTTATAGCAGAGTTAATAGGAACTGAATCTCGAAGTTTCTCTAACTGGGAGGGAGCCTGATCTTCTGTGTGAACTTAGTCAGAATAAAAAATAAGAAGAGTTAGTAAATACGAGAAAAAGCCAAAGTCAAGAATATTTAAAGTGAAACTGGGTGAACCAGTTAACTATCTCTTAGACCTTGAGATGGGTTCTCAATCCTAAGCTTCTAAGCTCTCATCATCGCAACACCATGTATCTAAAATATATGGGACAATTCCCCTTTGTTATATTTTCTTTCTGCATCTCGTAACTCTTTGTATGGGGTACATGCTAGTATCAAATGAACATACGCATTAAATAAATTGGCAAGCATTCCTATGAATATTATGTTTTAGTGATGATCAAGATCGAAACATGCAGTACATATTTGCATCTGGAAATCTAAATTTCTTTTTCCCTGAGGCTAATTTCACTCACTCTGTACATAAATTAGAAAATATATCATTCACTTTTTTTATATTTTGGTAAGTTACAGTCTAAATGTATCATTTACCAAAGAAATATAATACAGGAATCTAAACAAAGTTAAATCCACACATAGTACCTTTTCATTCCTTATATCCTCTGCATCCAAACTGACTGGTGTTTCCATGGCAAATAATGCTAAAATTTGGAGCAGATGGTTCTGCATTATATCACGAATGATCCCATAGCTGTCAAAATACCTGAAGAGAAGGGAGAGAGAGGCAGAGAGAGAGAGAAGAGAGGACGAAAGGGGGGTCGGGGAGAGGGGAGACAGAGCGAGAGTTCAAATCCTAAGCCAAATGAGATATACCACACACCTGAAAAAGAATATAACCAGCAAGAGGAAATCATCAAAACAAAAGAACCAAAAAGAAGAGAGGTAGACAGAAATTAGATCATACCCTCCTCGACCCTCGGTTCCAAAATCTTCAGAGAATATAAACTGTACATTTCTTATATAATTCCTTGACCATAGAGGCTCAAAAACAAGATTAGAGAAGCGCAACACTGAGAGATTCTCAACAAGCTCCTTTCCCAAGTAATGATCAATCCTATAATGCACAATATGAAAACCAATGTTAAAAATATATCTGAAACCCACTCAAGAGAGAAACTTCAGCCCTTGCTTTGAACTTAACAGTATGTCCAAGATCCACCAAGATCCCATTAGAGAGAATTTTCTTGTTTCTTCTTATAATTACCAGAGAGAAATTTCAAAACCTAGGTTTCAACATAAAAGCTACCTGAAAATTTGGTCCTCATTTAAGTAAAGCTTTAAGCATCTAGTGAGCTCTGCTGATGACTCTGAGTCACGGCCAAATGGCTTCTCAACAATGACCCTTGTCCATCCAGTGGAAGAAGAAGCAGAATAACTAGCACATCTCACCACATCCACAAATATATTTGGAGGAATCGACAAGTAAAACAAGCGGTTTGGTACTTTTCCGACCTGATATGATTAAATTAGACCAAGACGAGAAATAATTGCAAATTCACAATATTCATGATCTCAGGCACCTACACAACTATTTTTGTTTTATGTATAAAGACATGCATGTCCCATGTGTTGTCCAAAAGAGAATGTTTGTCTCCTTACTATTCCTTATGTATACAATATAAAAAAAAAACATCTTATTCTACAAATGGATAGTTCAGTAGTTTCAAATCTTTTACAATTACATGTATGTGTGTGTGTGTGTGTGTGTGTGTGTGTGTGTATGTATGCATTTATGAATGTAGATAAACTAACGATCAGTCTTGACCTAAAATGAATAGTAGTTTACATCATGCTCCCAGCCATAAGATCTTAATCAGATGATCGAAATGCATGTTATTACTTGAGTTCTAATATTTTCTCTATAAATCGGTTTAATATGAAACTTTAGGCATATGTACTAAAGACCATCATGCACAATATAAAAATATAAAAGTATTTTCAAAATTTAAAAATGACCAATTTACCACTATCATTTTTCATGGGTAATTGTGAAATATTTGTTTTATATTTTTTTCTTGGGCACCATATTATGCAGTACACGTACAAAATTTCATCTAGATTTTATTTCTAGAGAAAAGATTAAAATTCAAGTAGTAACATACATTCTCCACCATTCGATCAAGATTTGACAGCTGGAAGCATGATCTAAACTACTATTCATTTTAAGTGAAGACCTATTATTAGCTTTATCACACACACACATGCACACATGAAAATAATTTATAAAAGGTTGCAACTTTACTTGTAGAAGTAAGATTACAGTAATCTACACAATCCATTTTATTTGGATGGTGTACATTTGACAATGTCTTAAAACACATACTATGTTTTTACACTGACTCTAAGATGTGTTAAATCTACACTATCCAACTAAAATAAGCAATGTCAAACATCGTAACCATACTTTTACAAGTGAGGTTACAAACATAGAAACAATTTTATACAAACTACAGCATAGACACACCCACACACATTCTAGGATTCAAGTAGAATAAGAATTGCATTTCTAATAACAATAACAATAGAAGAAATACTACTACTACTACTACTACTACTACTACTACTACTACTACTACTACTACTACTACTAACAATAACAATAACAATAACAATAACAATAACAATAACAACAACAACAACAACAACAACAACAACAACAACAATAACAATAACAATAACAATAACAATAACGATAACAATAATAATAATAAACAACAACAACAACAACAACAAGGACAATAATAATGATACTACTAATAAAAACAACAAAAAAGAAAAATAGCCCTCTGGCCAAGATTTTTACGACCTCAAATTTTTCAACTCACTAATCTTTCGCACGGTTTTAAAATCCTTAACTAGGTATTTTGACCTGAGGGCTAATTTCCACATTATTAGTCCTCTTAAAAACAACAACTACAGTAATAATGAACATAAGACAAGAAAGAAACATAAAGGCGATGCATGGCTTCAATCATAGGAGACCCAACACCTCTTTTTCCCTTAGCTTTTTGTCCAACTCTGCAAAGTTTTCCTCAGAATTGTATTGGCCAGAATGATAGAAACATCTCTTTAGAAATTGCTCCATCTTGTCACCACAATTTTCCCTGAAAAATGAACAAAATAATCTCCATCATATGATAGACAACAGAACAAAAGCTGAAACATTGGGTAAGCATTGAATAAAACCATTATAATCCAAATGTATATCTTTATACAGGACAACATACTGACTGTAGCCAAATTTGTTGGTTTTTCCAATACTCGATTCACCTGCTTTCGCTCTTACAAAATATTGCCAAAGAATAGAATGGTCTGTGACTGAATAAATGCTTGCTTCCAAGTAGGAAAAACTTGCTAAGTTGACTCACTTAATGGGCAAGCTTTATAAATGAAAAATCGGGGATGCCTGAGTTTTTTTACTTTTATATAATTTATTTTCGAAAAATGTTTATATAAGGTTGCAACCTTACTTGTAGAATGTGGTAGTAATCTAAGCCGTCCATTTTATTTGGACAGTATAGATTTCACGCTATCTTAAAAGACATTACTTTTTCACTATCTTAAAAGACATGTCAAATCTACCCCGTTTAACTAAAATGGACGACAACCTTACTTCTATAAGTGAGGTTGCAACCTTATATAAACCACACCCCGCATTTTATTGGGCTCTTCTAAGCAAGTAGCATTGTGGAATGTTTGATTGATGAGGTTCAATTCCAATAATAGATACATTATTTTTTAATTGTCCCGCAAAATTTTGAGAAAAAAATCCCCGAGTTTTTCTAAATCAATGTTTGACTCAGTGAGTCAACTTGGTTTTGGCAGTGACCAAGTTGAAAACTGAGTTCCAAGTTTTAAAAAACAAGGCTCATAGAGGCAATGTACCATTAGTTGTAAACAGCAAACCTCTCCGCGCAGAACTTTATTAATTCCTCATTCAATATGGATAGAGAAACCAACAGCAATATATAAAGACTAGGTGGAATGTTAATATTGAGAGAAGGAATCCCAGCAAGTACAAGGTTCCTATTACTAAAGAGGCCTTATCATCTATCTCTGATCAACACCTCATGCAATGCATGTGAAGGAGATTATACTCAAAGTAAGAAATGAATCAACAATCCAAATAACTCAAATGAATGGCAAATTTTGTAAATTTAGCTAGCAATAGACAAACTCTTTTTGTCCATATCAAGGAAATATCATAATGTCAAATGATAACCAAGCATTGGAAACATCACAGGAGAGAACATACAAAACATAATGGCATACAAAAGATATTGTTCAACTACTTTCAAGCAAAAAATAATAGCATACAAAAGATTTAAGTAGCTCTGAATGAAAAATACATATAATAATTGCATATCAAGGATATTGGTCAACAAATTTCAAGAAATGGGCATCTGGGTGAGTGCATATGCAACCATGTCGTTAGTATGTGTTCATCAAATAAAACACCCGAAGTGAATAATTAATAACAAATAGTTACCTTTGATCAATTCTGCAGGTAAGAGTTTTGCTAACCATTGTTCTCAGCTCCTCATCAGTCATCTTACTGCGTGCATAGCCGAAAACAGTAAAGTGCTGTTCAAAAGAATAAACAAATATTGTAGGGTCAAACATACTAACCAGTCTACTAAACCAATGTTATCATATTCACTTCATTTTAGCCAAATAGGTGAAAGATTTCAACTTCAGAATCAAGACCAGGCATAGCTAAGCCTGTATTTTTTGGTTTGTTCTCTGGGCCACTTTGAACAGTTTGGCCATGAATGTCCCTTTCAGTCAAAGCCAACATTTAGATTAATAACTGCCTACTCAATATTCTTGTGCTCTTTTAATTCCAAGCAAAATGGTTGGTGCTCTTAGTGGCAGAAAAATAGGTCATTTAACCCCCCTGGTCTCTATTTCGACCCGGTCAGGATATAAAGGGTCAAACCCTTGTTCCCTGGTTCATAAGTTCTTTCAGAAAATTAAGACGCTCCATCCTGACAAGATTCATAAAACTTCAAGCGGCTACATGCAAAAGTAATGCCAGTGATTGAAATATTTATTATGACAAAATCATGAAGAGATTTAGCGTATCCCAGTTATAAACAAGAAGCCCCCAGTAAGAATATTGTTGCCGACACAAATGGCAATGGTAACCATTATTAAGTGAAATAAATATGAAAAACTGTACAAGACAGTGGGAACTCCTAGGGGACATATACAGTCAAGAACATAAGGCCAAGAAATGTTTAGCCCCCAAAAAAAAGATCTCTTGGTTTCAGGATCAAAGAGGAGTTAGGAAGGTTGGAGGTGAAATAAGCAAAACTGGAAGAAGGAATGGAAAATTAAAAGGTTTTTTTTTTGGTCCTTCAGACAAGGCTTGAAGCAAACCATGCATATATCATAAAGAAAACAATATAGCATATAGCATTAAAACAAACGAATGATCAAGTTGATAAAGCAATTACATGACCTGTGTACAATGCCCCCATCCCTGCCAATTAACTTTAAAGATAAGTAGTCAAGACAATATGGTAGTGAATACATCAAAGGAGAAACATAATTTTATGATGATTGCACAATGGCAGAATCATAACCCCGTAAATTTTCTTTCTTTTTGCACCAAAGGGCCTGTTTGTCAAGTTTTAGATGCAGTTGAATTAGCAAGAGTTCTGAATATCACTTTCGATCATTGTGGATTCTCAAACTATTGTTCAATTTTTTATTTTTTTTGAGCAAGTAAAATATTGTTCAGTTTTAACAATGGCAGCTAATTAAATGGCTGCAGGAAGGTAATGAGTTAGTATGAGTCATTTTATTGAGCCCAGGGCTGGACATTAGATAGATGTAATAAAAAAATTACGACAAAGTAAAGACCAATAATTGGAGAGAAGAGAACCATGTGGCCGACCCTCTCGCTAGGGAAGGAGCTTAGAGTTCTCCAGTTTTGGGGTTCTTGGTCTTAATTTCTATAATCAATATGATGCATAATAGATAAGGCCTAAAAACTTACCATGTTATGCATATCAACAGACGGGTGCAAATCACTAAAAGATATAATACCCAAAGAGAGTTAGTCTATTGTCATATCACAGGCAACACAATTTAAACATTGAAAAGTCTTCTTAGATCTGAAACAGCACTAGAGAAAATATTTACATTTGATATGGAACGGCCAACTCAAAATTTGGATTAAACAAAATAAGACTGAAATTACAGAGTTAATTATGATGAGTTTACTCTCAAAGGATGTTTTTTCTTTGCATCGGGTTCTTCGGCTCTTTGGCTGAAACAGGTTTGCTTGGAAATCCTTCTATTGGAATGATTGACAACATGACTATATTATGATCCACAGGAGTAAATTTTATAAACTTTTAAACCCAAGAAAATGGTAATTCATAATGATATAGACTTGATTGTATTCTGATATAGGAGTACACAATAGATCATTCGAAATGGTTAAAGACTTTATGCACATAATTATGGCAAATGTGAATGAGAAATTCTGAATGCCAATGTTTCAGGAAATGTACGAATGATTTTTGAATTTTCATTATCTGACGGATCTATGGAACTAATGATGTGATTAAAATGCAAATGCAGATGATTTTAGGCTTTAGACGTATTATCATGACTTCTATTTCTTCCCCTTGGACGTCTATTCATTTTCTGTTTCCTAATGTTTTGAATTTTGAAATTATTATAATCTTTAAAAGAAAAAGAGTCTTCCCCAGAAGCAACCAAAGCATCAAAGATCAAATTTTCCTAAGTAGAAATCTGTTCAAGTCAATCTGAACATTGCTTTAAACAATGAAATTCCTATTCTAGTACCAAACCATTTTTTACAATCAGTCCTAAGTAATTGATGGGTTTTGAAAGCAAGAAAATAGCAAGAACAGAAATCAAACCTTTGGGAGAAAGCCTTCATAGTAAAGAGCGAACAATGCAGGAAAGATCTTCTTCTTTGCAAGATCACCTGATGCACCAACAACTGTTATACTAATAGTAGATTCCATTACACCCTTTCCAAAATTCACCCCTTCAGGATTCTCTTCTGATGTTGAGAGTGGTCGTAGTTCTCCAATAGTTGATTTCCCCGCAAGAGGTCCATTTGCAGGGGTATTTGTTGCCAAGCCTGCACCACTGACCTCTTGTAAAACCCACAAAAAATATCTGATTTTATGCAGCAAGAGAAAGAAAATCACAGAAACTTTACTAAGCACCCTCATAATAAAAATGCATCCAGTAATCAAAATAACTCAATATAAATAACCAATTATTAATAAGAAACCAAATGAGGAAAATTCAGGGACGAAAAATGTTTCCATTATCATGGAATCTCAAAGTACAAGACAATATGATAAATGCAGTACGAATTTGGTAGGGATCATCGGAGTTCATTACCCAGAAAGATATCACAAGCATGCATATCAATAAGAAAGAAAGGAATGATGAGAAGTAAGGAATCTCAAATATTGTACAGGTAACAAAAAGAAAGAAAGGAATGATGAGAAGTAAGGAATGTCGAATATTGTACAGTCATATCATACATTATCATTAACTAATCGGTCATCTACAACAAAACATCTATACCAAAATCCAGCCAATAATGAATATCCATGACTCCTAAAAGTAAAGCATGGACAAGAAGAAAGGCCTCATCGACTAAGAGTAAAACAACAAAAGGAAGGGAAAGATGTACAAGACAGATGTCTGATGTCAAATAACTAAATTTTCGGTTAAAAACACCAAGTAACTTCATTGACCAATAGGAAAACTCACAGAACGAATAGACATACAAAAAAAAAATCAAATAAAAAGCTATAATCAATAGTGAAAAACCGTTAGGGTGCAACTACAGTTCGGCAAAAAAAAACAAAAAATCCCATAACCCAGATTATTCAATAAAATAAAAGCCTGAAACTCGCAATTACAAGGCTTACTAAGAAATCCACTTCAGCAATTAAATGAACACAAGAGAAAAGGCAATTTTCTCCAAAGTTTAGAGAGAGAAGCACATAACATTAACCAATTCTTTTTCAGTTTAGACACATAATCGGGAAGAAAGAACAAAGGAAGAAAACCCACTATCATCAAAAGATCCAATTACCAATATAAATTAGAAAAAAAATGTAACTAATTCAAGAAAAAGGTTACCATCTTGCTTGAAAAGAACCATCACAGATGACCCATTAGTGGTCTTGCCAAATAGCTTCCTTCTCCTGTAGAATTTTGCAGAAACATGGAATAAATGGACCGAATTTCTCCTATTTGGCCACATTGATTTCCATGAAAGCTGCTCACATTCAAATGAGGAAGGTGATAGTATTGTAGACAACCAAGAATCAAAGGAACACCTAGCCATCATAAGCTTAGAAGGAGAATAAGGGAACCCAGATTTAAGAATTGATCTAAATTTATCAGAATGGTTTTCTTCAAAGTTACTTCTTGAGAGAAAGAGAGTTCAGCTACTGCAACACTGTGAGATTTTAGAGAGAGAAACACACCTCCTTAATTCTTGGAGTGGATTCTTCTTTTCCAATACTCCAAGGATCCAATTTCTACTCTATACGGAAAATAAAATCTAGTGAGATAAAATTGTAGTGAGAGAAACTTGAAGAAAAGCATTTGAATAAAAATGAGGAAATATGTTTGGTTTGGCATTTGGATATACCAAAAGTTAAGGATGGCCTTTCTGTGGGGGCAAAGTTAACCAATCATTCATGGAAATAAATACAATATCTGAAAACAACTAATAATAAAATAAGGGGCAGTGATTATGTATACTAATGTAATGCAACAACTTTCAAAAGCTACGGTGAACCATTTGTTTAACCCCAGTTTTTAAATATACATTGTTTCCAATCCAATGAACAATCACAAAAGAGAAAAATTTGAAAATGGATGCAATTTTCATTAGGATGCATATGTAGGTGTACATGTAAAGTGCACCTTCAAATTTTATCATGATATGTAATTGTGATGTAAAATGTTATTAGAATTATCTCAAAATCTATTTTTATATCTAATTATAAAATTTTAAATTTCAAAAATAGTTAAAATCAAATAGATCTATAAACGTATGAAAATCTTGAAAATGGACGGTATGGATAATATGTTGTAAAATGTACTATTTCTTAAATTTAAAATCTTTTTATTTTTCACTTCAATACCAGAAACTACGACTGAAACCTAGACCGATGATTGCCTACTTTATATGTCCGGAGACGCTTACTGCACTGCTTCTTCTGTCAAGGCAGGCAGGCGGTTATCAGGATGTAGTCAAGGAGGTAGGCTTAGAGCCAGCAATAAAGCTAGCAAAGACAGCTCTACCGCGAGCGAGTAGCCTTTGCCAAAGAAGCGCTAAGAGCT